AACTGAACTGAACTGAACTGAACTGAGCTGCGTCAAGGTCCGAAGTCCCGTGGTAAAGATGGACGGCTCCAAAGCACCAAGGTGCAGCCTGGAAAAGCGGGGGGAACTTGCAGCCCCTAACCATGCAGGTGAGACGGAAAGAGGAGGCACCAGAGGCAAGCGGTCAACGGGAGCCAAAGCCGGCCACGAAGCAGCGCGAGGCGAACAGCCAGGAGAGCTCAACCAGGCGGACAAGGGCACAAAAACCAAAAGGCGAGCATGATGCATGATGCTCGTCACACTGCCGCCCAGCGGGCCGTGACGAGCATCAGCGGAAGCTACTCAGAAAGGTGGAGACAGGCCCTGACGTAGGCCGAAGACTCACACCATCACCACACCAGCAAAGGGCCACCACCTGTGGCTGAAAGAAGCTGGACAGGTGGTGGCTTATCACAGCCAAAGAGCCCAGCCTCTGTAAGGAAGAACTTCAAGAATTTGTATGAAGCTGCAAGGGCTCTGAAAGAGCACGGTCACCACACCGGCAAAGAGCCGCCATCAGTGGTAGCAAGAAGCTGCACAGGCTCTGTACCAGGTTTGTCGGCCAATCAAATGGCAGCGAAGAATCGAAAGTAGGCAGAGCACGCCCTCGAGCAACCGAAATTGCAAGGAGAGGGCTAGGGCCTGGAATACTCTTACGGAGTCAGGCTCGAGGCAAACCAACCTCCAACAGAGCTGGAGCCGAGACCCTCCTAAACCCTGAACCTCGATCCCTCTAAACCCTATCGGCCCTAACCCTAAACCCACGGCTTCTGCGGGAGTCAAAGCCTCACAACAAAACTCAAAAGAGACACTACGGCAGGCCTGGACGACAGTTTCACGCCGCTGAATGCGGTGGAGCGGTTTGACCCGGCTGACGGCTCCTGGGAGAGTCTGTCGGTGGCTCAGGTCTTCAGAGGATGTAAGGAGTGTAATGAGGGGTCTTGAGACTTAGGTAGGGGAGCTGTTGATGATTTTGGGATTCATTTTTTTTGGATGTAGGGCTTCGGCCTTTAGGATTCAAGGATTTCCTATGGATCGGAGATACCAAGACAAGCAACGCCAGGTTCACGAAGCTTTTGAAGCCTGAGTCCCGAATCTCGATAGTCAGTCCCCAGCTCCAAAGGCGTGAAACATCCCGAGCATCGAAGTCCTGAAAGCCGACACCGTGAATCGTACACCCTGAACCTTTTGTCCGAAAGCCTCAAAACCCCGAACACCAAAAGCCTATGAAGGCTCCCGCAGAATCTGGGGAGCCGGAGCAATTTGCACTAGCATCCCCTATTCTATTATAATTATACCACAACAGTCCTACTCCAAAAGTTTTTGCCTGCTTGCCACGTTGTTTCCAAGCCCTTTTGTTGCAAGCCTCCAGGCCACCAATCAACACCGCAAGACATGGAGTTTGCCTCGCCGTGGTGGGTGGCCAGCTCTATGTGTCACTTCCTCGGAGGGTTTAGGATTACGGTTTAGGGTTTAAGGATTTAAGGGTTTAGGGTTTAGGGTTAAGGGATGGATTAGGGTTAGGGGTTTAGGGATGGATAAGGGTTATAGTAGAAGCCCAAAAGTTGGAAACCCAATAGCCTCAATCCTTAAGAGTCAGATATAGGGAATCCCGGCACTAAGTCACTAAGTGTCCGCAATCCGGTTTCCAACTATCTGGGGGATACTATAGGGTTTGGGGATGGATTGGGGTTAAGGGTTTAGGGATCTCCTCGGAGGGTTTAGCCTGTTTTGATCCCGGATTTGGGGGCTCAGGGCTGGAAGTCTGGTGCCGGGCAGTTCTTCAGGTTTAAAGCCCATGGTCCTAGGACTGGGACGTTGGCTTCAGAAGTCCATGCATATGGGAGTTTCCGAAAATTAGGGGGTACCTTATTTGGGGGTCCTTATAATAGGGATCCTACTATTTAGGGTGCTATATTAGGGTCCCCTGTTTTGGGAGACCCCCATATTGCATTTAAGGATCAGTTGTCGGTAACCCTGCCCCCCGAAACCCGGTTTATAGAGGTTGCAGGAAAGCTTCTCGTTGGGAATCACGGGAATGCAGTTCCTTACAAGTTCCACGGCGGTCCTAGCCACAGAGGGAACCTACTTGATTGTTGCTTATTGGGGATTGGTATGTGGGAGATCTGTGCGTAACTGGCAGTCTAGCCCTTCACAATGCCTTTGCAAGTAAACTGGAGTGTGCCCCGAAACCCTCAGCCCTAGAATACCTGCTTGTAGGCCTCTTGGAGAACCCCTGAGACGTTCGTCTACTCAGGTTTCATTTTCAATCCCCAAACTCTAAACACCGCCGTACCTAAGCAGCTGACCCTACCCCTCCAGGTACCTACTGTATAGGGTACTAGAGCCCCTAAGGCCCTATATAGTAGGTACCCTAACCCTAAACCCTAAACCCTAAACCGTTAGCTGAGCCCCCAAAACAAGAAGCAGAGAGGATCGGTGGGGAGCTCCGCGGAGTAGCCCTGGCCGACGTGCCTGGGGCAGTTTAGAGCTTTGGGGGGGGGTTATAGGGATGAGAAGGGGTTTTGGGGGTTCATAGCTTTATAGGGGTTCGGGGTTGAGGGGTTTAGGGGTTTAGGGATTAGGGTTTAGGGTTTCAAAGTTTAAGATCGAGGATTTCGGGTTCGGTGTGTTCGGGTTTTGGGATTCGGGTTGTAGGGCTTGGGCTATGCGGCGTATAGACTTGTAATATAGACTCTTAGCAACTATGTGGGTTCTGCAAGTTTGTGTGGGTTCATTAAGGGTCTTCGGCTATGGGTGGTCGAAGAAGAGTCTAAGAGGGGCCATGTTCGCAGACAGCGATAGTGCCCTTGGTGACCATACTCGTAATGATCATCTTCGTCGCTGTGTATGCGTATCTCGAGAAAGGCAACATCGCCCGAAATAGCAGCAACAGAAGCGATGGTAAGACTATGCGTGCGACAAGACAACTCGCGCGGAACCAGTTTCCGCTGTAGTCGCGGAGGGCTAAAAGGTTTGAGAACAAATTTTGTAACCACCCTCGAAGGCTTTATCGTCATCAGAATCGAGGAGGTTCCTTTGATGGTTAAGAAGTTTATGCAGTGCATGATATGCTTAGCTGATTCGATGGCTCGCTCGATGTGTCTCGGGCATTCATGACTTCGACCAAATGCACGAGGAAGTTCTGTAATTGCATGTTGCCAGAGCGTTTTCTTCTGACCCGTCGAGATACTGCGGTCAGCCCAACAGCTGGCCTCCAGGAGCAGACTATCGCAGTTCTTCTTTCGCAGACGGAAGTTCGATACATGCGACCTGCAAATGGGACGGCTGTTCCAGTTTTAAGTTTCTGTTGTGGTGCCTGACGTTCACACGAGTTTGCTGCTGTATTCGGCTCTGACTTACTTTACTGGTCCTCACAGCTGCATCTTCGTAAGGACGCTCGAATGCCCAAACCATGTCCTCCCGAAAGGAACTTGATCAGATAAGAGAAAACCGATTTGTTCCCGAGCCCGTGATGGAAACTAGTCCCGGCAAGATGCATAAGGAACACTTCCTAGTGACAGCCAGCTATCTCTTGAGGTGCAGCGCTTCAATCCATGGGGCATCCAACAATGGGCGCCTTGGTACAATGTCAGCTTGAGTGCAGTGTGAGAACGGTGTTGGGTTCAGGGTTTTCGAGTTGTGGTTTAGGGTTTCAAGGTTTAGGGATTTCTGCTATCACACATACACACATACATGCCTGCATGCCTGCCTGCCTGCCTGCCTGCATGCATGCATGCATGCATCAAAAATATGTATATCTATCATAGATGCAAACGTCAGGCACACATAGCTACCTGCATACATGCATGAATCTGTGCATGATGCATCCGTGCACACACGCACATATGGGCATGGATGTCTGTGTACTATGCCGAGCAACGTTTGTACATGCGCAGCCTTAACTGTCTCGCCACCAGGTTGACTTCAAAAGAATAACTTCGAGACTTTGTGCCTCAAGAGCGCAAGCTACAGCCGGAGGGCACCCAAGCACCCAGAACAGCATCGTAGGTCTGGTGTAAGCCTACCACAGCCGGCACTGTTAAGCACTTTTGCATGCAACGCCTTCTAAAGTCCTAATCACAGAGAACCCTCAAGCCAACCACTCTGCAGCACCTAGGGATGTAAGGGTTTACAGGAGTCATCACGGTTCTTGTCAAGGGCTTTACTTTAAGTTACCACAATAAGGAAACCCTATGATCTACTATAGATCCCTATTATTATTATTATTATTATTATTATTTTTATGGTAACTTAAATTAAATCCCTTCACGTTAGGATGCTTGAGCTTCTCTTGTTCTGAGGAGACGCTTCCATCCATGTCCGTGGGCCGGATCAAGGCGGCAGCGTTCGAATGCCAGGCGGCCGGGGAGATCAGGGAGAATCTAAGGGGCCTGAGTAATTTTGCCAATGCGTCTTTTTTTTTTTTGGGGGGGGG